TGTGTGTGTGTGTGTGTATTCGTTTATTTTAGTGACTACAATATGCTTTATTGTTCTTGGAAAGGTCTCAGGGTTTGCTTTTAAATCAGACTGTGCGCTTTTCATCAGTTTCACATCTCTCTCCCCATGCCAGGCTGGCTCCAGCTAGCAATGCCACATTAAATTCCAGGGAGACCTTCAGAAACTTCCAGAAGCCTCCCCTCCTCCTGACCCCCATGTAGTCCAAGACCCCCTGTGTTTGCCTACAACCCCTGCTTAGGGTCCAGCCCCAGAACTCAACTACCCGACTCGACTCGGACCAGCCTGGCAGCAGGAGCTGAGGCTGGAGGCAAATGCCCAACTCTGCACCAGCAACTGTGCCACTGGGGACCTGAAGCCCAGGGCGTGTCACACCTGGAGGAAGCAGAGGGCCCCGTGCATGAGTCACCCAGGCCCTCAAGGCTGTCACAGCTCCGTTGTTCCCGCCCTGCCCACTTGCAACTTGAGGCCATGGGGCCCTAAATGCTTAGATCCTTGCTCCCTCTCAGATCCCACCCCTTCTTTTCTCCTCTTTCCTCCTGGCCCCCTTATCTTTTCCCATCTCCATTCCCACTTTCAGACTCATTCCTTCTTTGCTTAAAAGGCAAGATTTTTGGCCAGGCACGGCGGCTCACATCTGTAATCCCAGCACTTTGGGAGGCTGAGGTGGGTTGACCATGAGATCAGGAGTTCGAGACCAGCCTGGCCAATGCAGTGAAACCCCATCTCTACCAAAAATACAAAAAATTAGCTGGGCATGGTGGCAGGCACCTGTAATCCCAGCTACTCAGAAAGCCGAGGCAGGAGAATCATTTGAACCCAGGAGACAGAGGTTACAGCAAGCCGAGATCGCGCCACTGCACACCAGCCCAGGCGACAGTGCAAGAGTCTGTCTTAAAAAAAAAAAAAAAAAAAAAAAGGCAAGATTTTTCTGGCCCTGTTGCACTCTAGGCTCAATCAAACCTTAGCTGAAGACAGCAGTTTGCTGTCCACCATTACACTGTTTTCTAGAAGATTCTATCCTGATGAAGCACCCCCAGGTTGGTTGAAAACCAAAATTACTTTTCCTTGGAAAATCTTTGTGGACACCCAGATGGGCATTCAAATTTCCATGTTGTGGCCGGGTGCGGTGGCTCATGCCTATAATTCCAGCACTTTTGGAGGCTGAGACAGGTGGATCACCTAAGGCCAGGAGTTCCAGCCCACCCTGGCCAACATGGTGAGACATGGTCTGTACTAAAATCGCAAAAATTAGCCTGGCACAGTGGCAGGCGCCTGTAATCCCAACTACTTAGGAGGCCGAGGCAGGAGAATCACTTGAATCCGGGAGATGGAGGTTGCAGTGAGCTGAGATCGTCCCAGTGCACTCCAGTCTGGGCGACAGCGCGAGACTCTGTACCCCGCATCCCCACAAAAAATAAATAAAAAACACCCAACACCAAAAAGGGAAAACAGGGAAAAAAATATTACCAACTTGTGCCAGCCACGAGGTCTTCAACCTCGATGCTGCCACCTTCAGGCCCCTGGGGGTTACAACCTCCGCTCCAGCTCCCCTCTGAACCTGTGCTATTCCTCTAGCCCCATTCACTCCCACAACTGTCTCATTCATTCACTGGTTCACTCAGCCTCCAACCACCCTTAAATCATGTCAGGCTCACCAGGTGATGGAGAGAAAAATCCTCTGTGGGTCTGAAAAACACGTCTGAGTCCTGATGAATGGGCCTTGCTTTCATTTCCTCTCCCTCACAGCACCCTCAGGGCCATGAAGAGGCCTCGGCCTGGGATCAGAGCTCCAGCTCTCCTCAGGGTGGACCTGGCTTTTGCTGACTTAAGGGTGGGCCACAGGGCTCACAACTGAAATAGGAGACCTGCCCTGGGTCCTTAGCATGTGCAAGGACAGAGTTTCTTGTAGAATTTGTCATTTTCCACATGCAGACATCCATGCCCAGAAAGCTGAAGAACTTTGCACGGGAATGCCACAATATCAGCTGACTTCCATGTCTGAATACATGGTCTCTAGATCATGGCCATTACAGTCACTTTTGAACCACTTCTGTCTCCATCCTGGGCTGGATCTTCTCACACACAGATCCCCGGACCACCAAGCTATGCCCTTCACAAATCTGAGAACTGACCACCCCCATGTGTCTGTTGTCCTCCATACCACCCTCCACATGGCCCCTCCTGCACAGAGGCTCTCGTGCATCAGGCCAGAACCTTCCAGGCTTCTGTGTCCCTGCTCAGTCACAGAGGCTGCTGCCATCCCATGTTTCTGTCCTGAAGCAGACAGGCCCTGGGCTTTGTCCGGGCCTCCTCCCCTTTCCCACAGCCTCAGGACCCTGGGGACTGATGGTCAACAGGTGCAGGTTCTCCCCACATGAAGACTGTGTAGAGTGGGAGGTCTGTGTCTATTTTTCTCATTCAATGGGAAAACGGCTGAGTGGCTGGGGGCAGAGTGGGACTCAGGGGTTCTGCCCAGTCCTCACCCCAGGCTAAGCCCTCCCTTGTGGCCAGGGGCCACTGGGCCCCCCACTTACCTCTGGCTTCTGCCCACAGATCTAGATGGTTCCACGGTGACTGAGACGAGGATGCACTCACGTTGCCCCTTTGAGGATGGCTGCAGGGACCATCCAGGGACTGAGCAGAGGTGTGGGTGCAGCCATGGATTTGGGTGTAGTTGGCCACAGATGGGTGTGCAGCAAAGTGAGCCCCATCAAGACGTAGACTCCACCCTCGGCTTCTGCTCTCCATGGAAACACAATTGATCACATAAAGATTGATCACGGTAGGCCTTTAGGGCTTTCCTTTCTTTTTTTTCCCCAAAGTCATAAAGGGATATATAATATACTCAAAGACCTTCTCATGCTTTTAGAGGTGAGGCAAAGAAGGTCCGCTCCGGACTGGGAACCTGCGGCGCCCTGGACGGAGAGGGGCGGGGATTCTGCCCTGCAGGCGGAGGGAGGGCAGGTGTCGCTGGCGCAGGCGGTGACGGAGAACACCGCCGCCACTGAATATCCCCGTGCAAGTTTCTTCACCTTCCTCTGCATCAGTGTTTACACTGGGGTAATGATAAATGCTGTGTTGAAAAATTAAAAGAGGAAGGAACTGTGTCCTGGTCCGCGCGGAACCCGCGCACGCCGCCACCAAGTCGCGGGGGCGGGGTGGACGGGGAGGGTTCGCCCGACCTGGCCGCTGTCAGGCCAGGAGCCGGGGACAGGACGGAGTGGAGTGTTCCCCAGAGGAGGGCCAGCAAACGTTTCAGGTGGATCCCAGCCTTGGACTGAGCGCAGCGGCGGGGCGGGGCGGGGTCGGACGGAGGGCACGTCACCGGCCTGGGCGGGGCACCCAACAACCAATCGGCTTGGGGTTCTCTTTGCAACTCATCCGCGGATCTCCGCTGCGACAGCGATTCCGGTGCCTTGCGCTGCAGATCCCCCATGGCAGAGGCCGCCAGCCCCACGTTCCTTCTGTGCCTCCCGCTTCTGTTCCTGCTGTCCGGCTGGTTCGGGGCAGGGAGGGCCGGTGAGTTCAGGGATGGAGCCTAAGCGGGACAGGGGCCAAACCTGGAGGACTGTGGACTGCACCGGGTTTCAGAGGAGGTGAAGGCTTCTGGAAGGACTGGCGCGATCTCCCAGGACTGCGTGCCCCCTCAGTTCCCCTGCCAGGCTCCTTTCCTCCGGTCCTCTTTCTGTGGCTACTGCTTGCCCCACAGGCCAGGAGGGGGGCGGGGGGTCAAAGAAGGCAGACAAGGACCCGCAGGAGGGTGGAGGGACCAAAGGGCTTGCAGAGCCCACGGTGGGGCGGGGATCCCTGGTGCAGACTCGCAGCCCCACTCACCCTCGGGAAGGAGAAACCAGAGCTCCCGGAACCCGAGCTGTGATCAGGACAGAGGTGAAGGGGGTTCCACAGGGACGCGATCGCTGACACCCCCACCAGCCACAGGCTTGCTCTGTTCTCACCCGCTCTCCACCACACAAACCCTCCAGCACCCCCAGGGCTCCTTGCCTTGGAACTTCCCTGCCCTGGAACTTCCCTCTGAGCTTTGCTGCAGACACTCACCCGCACCCAGGGGCTCACCAGACACTTCCCACCGCTCCCCTCAGCGTTCACTTACACTACCCAGGTCACATCCATTCACTACCCATCTCAGCCCAGCCCTGTCACCCCACAGGCCTCCCTCACCTCCCCATCCATGAAGGGGCCCTTAGCACCTCCCCAACCAACTAGCACCCTCTACCCTTCTCCCCAGCAAACACTCCACACGCTTTCCACAGAACTTAGTGCAGGGGGGATGGGAAGGACCATTTCCCCCATGATGACCCTGGGAGCGCCCGTGAGTAGAGGCGCCCACTACTTCCCTTGGGTCCCAGATCTGCCTGTTCTTCCTACTGGGGAGCCAAGGTCATACAGAATAGTCACTATGCAGACAGGAGTCAGCAAACCCTTTCTAGAAAGGAAAGGCTGAAGGCACTTTGGTCCTTGCTGGCCATGGGTTCTCTGTGTCAAGTCCTGTCCCTTTGTGGAGCAGCAGCAGGAAATGGCAACCTGTTAATAAAAGGGAGACCAGATGTGGACACCGTCCTAGGTTGCTGACCCCAGGTGAGGGTACATGCTGTGTCCTGGCAATTGCTGCCCCATCCCCTAGGGTGTCATCTCCAAGTGGTGTAAGTTGAAGAGTCACAGGTGTGTCCAACCCTGCCTGTGGCTTCTGGGTGGTGTGGATGTGATGGATGTAAGTGGAGGTTCTATGATTCGGGGTGTACTGCCCCTCTCCTTTGCTGCTGGGTGGCATCAGTCGTCCCCCAGGACCTTCAGGGACCCTCCCTGAAGCCTCAGGTGTGAGCTGAGGGTGAGGGGGTGCAGGCATGGGGTGTCCTGGGGATCAGGACCAACTGCTTGTGCAGCTTCTTGGTTCCCTGTGGCCCTGCTCCGGTCCATCCCAGGAGACCCACCTGCGTCTTCTCACTGCCGGGCCTACCTTCCTAATGGGCAGCTCTGAGACTACCTGGTGACTGCCCTCCCATTGCTGGAGGCTATCTCCACCAGGGCCCAGAACCACACCTGGAGCCACTTTAAATGAGCCTTGCTTCTGAGCACTAGGGGACCCTGTTGTGATTCTGTGGTTGGGAATTGCCATGAAATCCACATAGCACCTTTTCCAACCACACATGTCTCTGGGATCTTAGGGACTCCAGGGTCAAATAGCCGTAGTGGCAGGTCCAGCCACACCCCTCGTTCACAGAGTGTGTATGGCTGCATTACGAGCTTCAAGAGCAGAGTTGAGTAGTGACAGGGGAGGTCATATGACCAGCACAACCTCTAATAGTTACTACATTAGCTATAAACACTGTCCATTCCTGGTACGAATCCAGGAAATGTGAAATTACCATCAAGTGGGTCCATGAACCCAGCACATCCCTCTAAGCTGGACCTGACACAGGTGTCCATCCATTACTTTGCCCCATTGCACCTCATGAGTAACAGGGAAGCAAGTTAATGCTTCAGATCCCTGGGAGGGGGTCGGATCACACACTATGTTCACTAGGAGTGTCTGGGTATTTGCTGTTTCATGGTGTACAGTTACCAGAGTGAATGCCCATCTGGTTCTGTGGGGGAGTCTTAAGCAGTCATTGCACTTGCTGTGGGGTCAAAGAGGCCCACCAGGGGCTCTGGGCTCTCCTTCTAGTAATGGACTTGATCTGAGATGTGGCTCAGTTCTCAAAGCTGGGCAAAGAAGCTCGGTTATTTCCTGGGGTGACAACTTTCAGCCTCCAGGTCATCCATCCTTGCGTTTTGTCTTTGTTTGTTGTAGTTATTTAAATCTAGCAGTATCCAGGTTGAGTCTCCATCTCTTTTGGATCTTGGACCACTTCATTCTATGAGCCATGGGCATAGCTTTCTATGGCTGAAGTCCCCAGCTGGCGTTGTGACTTCTCTAATTATTTCCATCATTGCACCCTCCTTCCTCTTGACAGTTAGTTGATGGCCTCCACTGGAGATCTGTTATTTGAGGATTTTCCATCCCCATTACTACTGGAAGCCTATTTCAGGAAGAGCATCTCCTACCCCCAACCTTGGCCTTCAGCAACAGGCATCCCTGAGCTTCTTGACAATCGGCTGCCTTTTTCCAGGGCCTTCTTATATGCTGGGTAAACAGGAGTCCTCCAGGCATCCCTTGAGCCCAGAGGGTGGCCACTGTTCTGAATTTTCATACTGCAGCCACTCTAGCGTCTGCACTTCTCTGAGCATTTTGTTCTTTCCTCTACAACCTGCCATGTAAGAGATGGGCTTTCTGTTTCGTGCACTGTGGGTCATTCCTTTTTCCAAGGTTCCAAGGGCAACCTAGTAGCAGCTGAAAAGCATATTCCAGGAACTTACCATGTCTTCTTTCCCATAATAAATAAACTCATCCTTACCCAATTTAGACTACATTGTACCCACTACACCATGCTGCAAAATCCTCAGGGTGCTCTCCCGCCTCTTGCAGTCCACCTGGGCTGCTGCTGAAGATCCTGCCATCTAGGTCCTTTCACCTGTAGCAGGCCTGCCACCTCCCTGGCAGGGTGCTGTGCTGACAGATGTGAGTATAGGTCTGGGCAGAGTGGGGAGATGGACATGTTGGCGACCCATGGTTCCTCCACAGGCAGAGACCACCATCGAGGAAGAGAAATCCATCTCTGCCAGCCCAGCCCTTCAGGAAACCCTCTTGCTGTCCCAGTGTTTGGGGTCTTTCCCCCACTTCAAAATTCTCCGGTATTTTGGGTTTTTTTTCCATAGACACTCACTCTTTCTGGTATAACTTCACCATCATTCGTTTGCCCAGACATGGACAACAGTGGTGTGAGGTCCAAGGCCAGGTGGATCAGAAGAATTTCCTCTCCTATGACTGTGGCAGTGACAAGGTCTTATCTATGGGTCACCTAGAAGAGCAGCTGGATGCCACAGATGCCTGGGGAAAACAATTGGAAATGCTGAGAGAAGTGGGACAGAGGCTCAGACTGGAACTGGCTGACACTGAGCTGGAGGATTTCACACCCAGCGGTGAGTGGTGGAGACCAAGGACAGAAGGGAGCAGAGTGTGGGCTCAGGGGCTGTACTTTGTGTGGGGAGAATAAATTAGACATGGGACCTCCATGAAGCCCAGCAGCAAGGGCAGGACTTGGAGGAGGCAACAGGACCAGATGAGAAGGGTCTCAGCGTAGGAGGATGTGGGATAGGGAAGAGAATATGTAAAGACCAGAGCTGATCTCTTTCTGATTGGGGCAGGACCCCTCACGCTGCAGGCCAGGATGTCTTGTGAGTGTGAAATTGATGGACGCATCCGTGGATCTTGGCAGTTCGGCTTTGACGGACAGAAGTTCCTCCTCTTTGACTCAAACAACAGAAAATGGACAGTGGTTCAGGCTGGAGCTAGGCGGATGAAAGAGAAGTGGGAGGACAGTGGACTAACCATGTTCTTTCAGGTGTTCTCAATGGGAGACTGCAAGAGCTGGCTTAGGGACTTCCTGATGCACAGGAAGAAGAGGCTGGAACCCACAGGTAACTGACAGGGGAGCACTGGGAGCACGCTGGAGATGCCATCAAGTTACACCCTTGTCTGTGAGTGTCTGAGTATGGTGGGTGTAGGTGTATGGGTGTGAGTGGGTGTGAGTCTATGCATGTGTGAGTGTGAGTGTGTGTGTGAGTGAGTGTAAGAACATGAACCCCTCATGGGGGGCTCCTCCTGGGGATGCCTTGGCTCTCCCATCCTCCTCTTCTCTCTCCCTCCTGACTCCTCTTCCTCACTGCACTTGCTTTTGCTCCACTTACTGTGGATTTGTCACCAACCTCGAAACTGTGGGCGTCATTGTGTTTCTAGACCTTTCTCTTTAGATTTCCCTCCACCTAGAATTACTTTTCCTTTCCTCTCCTTTGGTCTCTTTCTGGAAATCCATCAAAACCACCTCGAATGCCAGCCCCGAGACTCTCCCCTCCCCAGCCCTGGGACATCACCTCCTCTTCTGCCAGAGCAGGAGGGTGGGCTGTGCTGTCACCTTGCTTCCCTCAGCAGCTATGTGAGCTCCCTGAGGACGGGGACACCCCCTCTCCTTTCCTACCCCCAGGACCTGTCACAGTGGCTGCCCCACAGCAGGGGAGACAAATCCTCTGCCTTCCAGGATGACCTGGGGCAGCAGGAGCTGAAGAGGTGTCTCCTCAGATTTGGGGCGTGGACAAGAGTTGTCACTCCAGTGTTTCCATTTCAGAACCACTCACTGTGGCCCCACGCACAGCCCAAACCAAAGCCATGTCCACCAACCTCAGTCTCTGGAGCCTCCTCATCATTCTCTGCTTCATCTTCCCTGGCATCTCAGGAGAGTCCTTTAGAGTGACAGGTACTGTGGGCAAAACTGTGAGGGGAACAAGAGACAGATGGGTGAGGTGGGAGGAAGGGAAAGAGAATTCCCAGAGCCCCACCCCTCCCCATGGCCAGGACCTTCTCATCCTGACATGGGACAGGTCAATAGGACCTGGTGTCACCTGTTGGCAATGACCTGGGCAGCTCAACCTTGAGTTCTGATGGATTCTCACTGTCAGAGGGCAGAGGGAAAGGGAGAGGCTCACACCAAAGCTCAGGGCCTATTGAGCTCGAGAGGGTTTAGACAATTCAGGCCTGTTTCAGAGCAGGTTTCTATTCGGGAAGGGTAGTGGTGTGTGGCCTGCAGGCAGCAGGAACTCAGGCATGGGCAGTCTGCGCAATAGGAGAGGAACAGCATGGCTGTTTCACCTAGGATGTCAAGGGAAAGGGTGTCCCTGGAGGAGGCTAAGAAGAGAGCCATCTGGAGGAATCCCAGGACAAGGGAGCTGTGAGGGCCTTGGTCCACCCAGTTCCTAAAGCTGCATTCCCAGAGAAAGCACCTTGAGTCCCAACAGTTAGGGTGGAAGATGAAGAGTAGAGCATGTCCAGGATGAGTTTTAGGAAAAGGCCAAGCCCCTTGGACCCATGGGATTCGTGGCCAGGCCCTGAGGTGATGCCCCTGCCATTATGCCTCCTGCACACTCCAGATCCTGAGTCAGCTGATGGCCCTGCCTGGAGCAGAGTGGACTCAGACAGGGAAGCTGAGGTGCTGCTGAAATTCCATGGTCACCACTGAGCTTGGCCAGGAATGAATGGGGCAGGGCAGGGACAGTCCCATTCAGAGCTATGGGTGCAACTCCCAGGGTGAGGAGAGGCTGAGAGAGAAGGGGAAAGAAAGAAGTTTGCCTGCAAGCCCACCCAAGGCCAGGAAACATGGATCCAGATACTTCTGTTTGGACAGGGCTCCTCCAGGTCGTCTACACCCTTCTATGAGAGGGAGGAGCAGTACCTGAGTGAGGGTGCAGACCCCTCATTACCAGCCTCAGTTCTGAGCCTCCCTGGGCTGTAACAGGACCTGGGCTGGCTCTGTGGTGTGGTGAAGGAGGGAGGAGGTTGGGACAGGCTGCACAGCCAGGGGTAGGGTTGGAGGGAGAAACATATTCCATATTTGGAGGAGAGGCTCCGAAATGGGGAGGGTCTGGGAGGGATCACCCAGGAGAACAGATCCAGGTTTTTCTCAGCCACTTAAACCAACACTTCATCTTTTGTCAAGGTGAAAGATGATATCAAGAACCCCCTGTTAGTCTGGTCTGGTTCCTGCTCTCCCTTTAGGGAGGCCAGCTGTCTACTCACCACTGTGCCTTTCTGAAAAGCAGGAGTTCAAGCCTTAGCAAGTCCACAGTGTTGCAGGAAGTCAGGGACCACGAATGGAGGGACAGGCTGGAGCTGTGGCAGAGGAACATAAGTTGTGAAGATTTCATGGATATTTATCACTTCCCTAATAATACTCTTATAATTTCTTACCCCCGTCTTACTTGAATCTCTTAATCCTGTTATCGTCATAAGCTGAGGATGTACATCACCTCAGGACCCCGTGATGATTGTGTTAACTGAACAAATTGATTGTAAAACGTGTGTTTGAACAATATGAAATCTGTGCCCCTTGAAAATGAACAGAACAACAGTGATTTTAGGGAACAAGGGAAGATAACCATAAGATCTGAGTGCCTGTGGGGTTGGGAAAAAAGAGCCATATTTTTCTTCCTGCAAAGAGCCTATAAATGGACGTGCAAGTAGGAGAGATATTCCTAAGTTCTTTTTGTAGCAAGGAATATAATATTAAGCCCCTAGGAAAAGAATTGAATTCCTGGGGGGAGTTCTATAAATGGCTGCTCTGGGAGTGTCTGTCTTATATGGTTGAGATAAGGACTGAAATACGCCCTGGTCTCCTGCAGTACCCTCAGGCTTATTAGGGTGGGGGGAAAATCCCACCCTGGTGAATTTGGGTGAATTTGAGGTCAGACCAATTCTCTGCTCTTGAACTCTGTTTTCTGTTGTTTAAGATGTTTATCAAGACAATACTTGCACAGCTGAACATAGACCCTTATCAGTAATTCTAATTTTGCCTTTTGCCTTGTGATCTTTGCTTTGCCCTTTGCCTTGTGATCTTTATCCCCCTTTGAAGCATGTGATCGTTGTGACCTATTCCCTGTTCGTACATCCACTCCCCTTTTGAAGTCCTTAATAAAAACCTGTTGGTTTTGCTGCTCAGGTGGGCATCACAGACCTTCCAACATGTGATGTCACCCCCGGCAGCACAGTTGTAAATTTGTCTCTTTGTACTCTTTCTCTTTATTTCTCAGACCTGCCGACACTTAGGGAAAATAGAAAGAACACATGTTGAAATATTGAGGGTGGGTTCCCCCGATACCACAGGCCCCCAGCAGATGACGAGGACATTGTAGACTCAACATGTCATACCACTCATTTCCTTTGGTGATGATCCTAGCAGCCATTTTTCTTAACATCTTCTGTCACTTTCTCTCAGTGGTAATGAAAGGAATTCCTGCACATGTTTTAACTGAACAAGAAATCCCAGCAAAAAAAAAAAAAAGAGTTATTTCTGCTTCTTTGATTGTGGAAAACAAACACTTCTCTGAAGCATGACCTTATTCTTCCGAGCAGTATTGCTAGTAAAATAGCATGCTGGACTTCAGATCTCAGGGATCTTTTCCATGCACTGACCAAGAATTGTATTAATCCTTTTTACTGTTATGCTTTTTTACAGTTTCTCATTCTGTCAACCATATTGGAGTGAAGTGGCATAATCATAACTCACTGTAATCTCCAACTCCTGGGCTCAAGTGATCCTCTAGACTCAACCTCTAGAATAGCTGCAAGTACATGCGCATGCCACCATGCCTGGCAAATTGTTTGATTTTTGGGTAGAGACTGGGTCTTCCTATGTTGCCCTATATAGAGAATTAATGGGATTTCATTCTTCTGACATGTTATATTTAATAATAAAACTAGGGATGCTGCTAGATATCTTTTGGAGACAGAGATTTTAAAGATCACTCTTAATTTATAAGCAGTCTGGCTGTCAGTCTTCACCACTGTCCTGATGTCCTGGGCCAGCAGATATTCCTGCCTCTATCCCTGCTTCCAGAATGTGATGCTTTCTGGTTTGTCCCCAGCCCACTCCAGGCTTGGCAGTGGCTTTTCTCATCATTCTTCAGCCCTGATCATGCTCACTTCTAGTGAAAGAAATCCTCACTACAGATACATCTCTATTTGTAAATGTTATTCTATTCCCCCACAGACAAAAGATCAGAAGCAGAATATATAAAGAACTACTAGAAACTAATAAAATGCACCTAATTCTTCAGGAAATGCTGTGAGCAATTCAGAGATCCTAAAGAAACCTGTGAAAGCTTTTATAGCTCTAATACAATGAAGAAAACGATGGTCTACCCCTGTATACTCATCTTACCAACAAATTTTTTTAGTCTGTCTCTACCAATTGGTGGATAGGAAATGGAATATCAGAGACTTCTTACATTGTGGGTAAGAGGCCAGACTGAATCACTTTTTTGATGTCTACTCAGGTAGTATCCAGGAGAGTGGACGCTGTGCTCATCCCACTAACCAGCAATCCCAGAGTCAGTTCTGGGTTCCAAACATGTTCCAGAGAACATGGAGATA